AGACTTTAACTGGAACCGCAGTCACTCACGGATCTACGTGGGGAGAATCAACATCATAATAACTCAGCCTTCCAGCCCACAAACCGGGGAAGCTTGGAAGACCATCGCCGTTTTCAAAGACGCTAAAACCCAAAAGGCTTGGGTGCATCCCGTCTGCCTGCCCAGCCTTGCACAACCACGAGGGGTCTTTCAGGCAGTGCGTCAACTCCTCAAGACTGACAGGTGTCTGTCACTCACATGCCCCTCCCATCACATACCTCCACTCTCTGCCTTCCTAGACAGGTGCTTTACCTGTGTTTGAAATGTTTCAAAATGCAACATGAATGACATCATTTGAATAAGAATTCATAGGGGCTGGCGCTGTGGCGTAGCGGGTAAAGCCGCTGCCTGCAGTGGACATCCCATATGAGTACTGGTTTGAGTCCTGGCTGCTCCACTTCCCATCCAGCTCCCTGCTAATGCGCCTGTGAAAGCAGCAGAAGATGGCCCAAGTGCTTGGGCCCCTGCACCCATGTGGGAGACTTAGAAGAAGCTCCTGGCTCCTGGCTTTAGCTCAGCCCAGCTCTGGCTGTTGGGGCCATTTGGGGAGTGAACCAGCAGATGGAAGACCTCTCTCTCTGCCTCCTCCGCCTCTCTGTAATTCTGCCTTTCAAATAAATAAATAAATATTAAAAAAAATAAGAACTGAAAGCCGATACAGTGGACAAAAATCAAGTTTTACTCAAAACCTACACCAGAAATTAATAACATTCGATTAGCAATGGGAAATGGGAAATGAAATAATATTGCGTTCTTTCTTAAAAGGATGAGATCTCAAAACTCAAAGTGCCCCACTGATGTCATTTTTGAGTCACTGGCATATTTTCGTGTGGATTTTTTCCAGCCACTGTAAAAAGCTCTTTTTTGACAAGGCTGTAGTTGGAGAAATGGTGAGGAGATATTTTTAAGCTAAGTCCAAATATTTTCCCTCTGACTTTCATGTTCAAATCAAATCTCTTGTTCAATAACTTCGAGAAAGATCTTTAAAAAAAAATGCAGCGCTTTGGCAGGGACTGGAATCTTTTATTGTCAACACACTGTAGTTTCTATTTCCAAAAAAGTTCCCAGCCTTTGGGGTTATTTTCATCTTCTCGGGCTGCATCACACAACGCTGGGGATCACAGCGCTGCACCACCTGTGTAAATTTCCACGCCGCTGTGTTTATGTTCCCATCACCGACAGCACCTCCAAGCTGGGGTAAGTGTTGTTCTCGAAATGGAAGCCGTGCCTGCCGGTGGTCACTTCCTGCCTGCTCCGGACCACCGACCACTCCTCCATGCCCGAGATGAGAATTTGCTGGGCAGGTCCCCGCCCCGACTGGCTCACATCTCAGATTGCCAGCATTACAGCATTGGGAGCCTGGAGCCCGTGCCCCGGCCCCCGCACCTGCGGATGCAAAGGGGTCTTCCTCCTGCGGCTGCTCCAACTGGCTGTTCCTCGGGCTGCCCAGGGCCGGGCTGAGCTGGCACAGAGCTCGGAGCTCAGGGGCGAGAGCAGGGAAAGGCACAGAGGCCGCATCACCAGGACCCTCAGAAACTCCACGTAGCACCCCGAGCCCCTTTCCCGGCTGCTGCTCCTGGGCTGAGCAACGTCTCTCCGCAGCAGGCCTCCACCAGAGGCATCCACCTGGGAAGCTACGAGGCAGGGGGCCAGGGCCCCTTGTTGGCACGGAGAGAGGTCCGGGACAATCTGCTGCAGGTGCCACCAGGCCTCACAGGGAGCCGCACCAGCTGCACCGTGGCACAGCCTTGGTGACGGCTGCGGCGCTGGGGGCCTCAGAGCAGTGCCCCTGCCCTCTGCCCGCTGCAATAGCTCCTCCTTCCTGCCAGCCTAGGCTCCGGGGCCGCCTCCAGTGCACGTCCCCTTCAGGGTGACACAGCCGCTGCAGCCAGGCACGGAGGACTCTGGCCACAGGCCACATCTTTGACTTCAATCTAGATCCCAATTTTGCACGTTGTGGCCACATACACACACGCACACACACACACACACAGGTGTTTGGGTTTTTTTATTATTAAAATAAGAACTTTCAGAAGAATCCATTTCCAAGGTTTTCCTTAATTTTTTTAAAAAAAGATTTATTTATCTGACAGAGTTAGAGAGAGAGAGAGAGAGAGAGAGAGATCTTCTGTCTGCTGGTTCATTCCCCAAGCAGCCTCAATGGCCCCGGTTGGGCCAGACCAAAGCCAGGAGCCTGGAACTCCATCTGGGTCTCCCAGGTGGGTGCAGGGCCCCAAGTACTTGCTGCTGCTTCCCCAGACCGTTAGCAGGGAGCTGGGTTGAAAGTGGAGCAGCAGGCCCTGGGAGCAGTGCGCATACAGGATGCTAGTGTGTATTTGATGTTGATTTGGTGCAAGACGCTGTCTGGGACACTGGGAGGGACAGGCTGGGGAGACCCGCGTGCTAGGCGGGCTTGTTCCCACACAGGCGGGGGGACCTGGGACAAGTCCCTCCCTTCCCCAGAGCCTCGTTCCCATTTCCAGGGGCAGAAGACTTGGTCACACAGGTCAGATCGCCGGCAGTTAAGAAAAAACTCCACACAGATTTCAAACTTTTTTTGCACCGAAATAAGCTGGTCTTGTAATTCCATTTTCCACAAACTTTTTGGAAATATTGCCTAAGGAAGCTTCTTCCTCGTGCTATTTTCTCGTTTGCATATGATGAATAACAATATTGTCTGGGAGCAGCGTGGGCTTGGGGTTGCCTCATTATTCACTCAGATCTTGCTCTCCCACTTTGAAATCGAGCCACTCAGAGCTCTGGTTCTGGTTCAGTTTACGTTTTAAATATTTAATTGACACATGATTGTACATATTTATGGGGTACAACTAGTTTCGTTTACTTTTAATAGCTGTCGTGGCTGATCCAGAGAGAAGAAATGTGTCAGGGGCTCATGTATTAAATCATGGTTTCATTTCTAGCCCCATCGACCAATTAAGGGATTTTTACTGAAAGTAAGCGAGGAATCGTCTGACTTCCTTTGTTAGTCATTGACTCTTAGGAGTTCATTGGAAAGAACCACATTTCTATATTTAACGAACAGACTCAAATCCACTGACCCGCTTTATATGGACAATTTCCGAACAATAAAAAAAAATAGAAGAAAAAAAGAAAAATGTGTTTCTCATATTTTCAGTCTGCAGAGGTAAGCCTTGTTATGGGTGCGACCACATATTTTTAACAACAAAATCTCATTTTCAAGACATTCTCTCCAATTTGGAAAAGCAATAACGCTGCAATGAGTCACTTTCACCTGCAAGAAGCGAGTGCATCCGAGTTCACTCGTTGGTGACTATCTGCCGGGTAGCAAGCCACCCACAGCCACTTGTCATCATCAAAGGTTAGCAGATTTCCTTTTGGAGCAAGAAAAACACATAACTCATCTTTAAGGCCGACAGCTCTTTCGAGAGCTCTGCCAACAGATAACCAGCAAAGCCCTATGTGGTTCGGGAGGTTGCCATAGTCACGTCCCTTCTCAGTACAATCCATCCTGAGCGCCCTACTAGATCTTACTTATTAATTAATTATTGTTTACTTATTAATGAGGGGGAGAGAGAGAGAGAGAAAGATCTTACCCATTGGTTCACTCTCCAAATGCCCACAACAGCTGGGCTGAGCCGGGCTGAAGCCAGGTGCCAGGAATTCAATGCAGGTCTCCCATATAGGTGGCAGGGAGCCAACTACTTGAGCCATCAGCTGCTACCTTCTAGCACATACATGAGCAGGAAGCTCATGTTGGAAGTGGAGCTGGGACTTGAACTCGGGCACGGCAACATGGGGTGCGGGTGTCTCTAACAGTGTCTTAGGTACTGCGTCAAATGCCCACCGCTTAAGTTCTTTTTCATTTTCTTTTTAAATCAATCCCACCAGTGCACCCTCTTGCACCTGCTGTACTTCTCGATTTACCCTCTGGGCGGCCATAGCCTACAGGGAATTTGGCTGGGAACTAGTCAAACTGGGAGTTTGACTGTGGTCTCGCCCCTGAGGGCAGGCAGGACTTGGAAGCTCAAAGTCTTAATGGTGGAAACCTGATCCAGGGCAGGGCGGCATGGTGGGAGGTCCTTCCGCCGTGGAGGGCGTGCCCGTGGACAGAGGCGCTCAGGAGGACAGCACAAAAGCCTGCCCAGGGTCCCTCTCTGCCTCTGGGCTCACCACGTGCTCCTTCCCCCACCCAGGCTCCGCCTCGCCCTCCACGGCCCCCAATGTTCCTGAACCTCCAAAACCATGAGCTAAAGAAACCTTTTCTCCTTGTAAAGTGGGCTGTCTCGGGCATCCTGTTGCAGTCACGGCGAGCCAGCTGGGCTCATTGGTTTTCCAGGTGTCCATCCTGGCACCCGCCCCTGCCAGCAGCTTCTCACCACGGAGTGGCCTCTCCCTCCATGGCTACCCTCACTTTCCCCCACACACGATGCTTCTACCCAAGAAGTCACTTCCGCTCAGTCCTTATCGCCTTGGCCTTCAGTGGCAGGCAGCCATGTGGCTTTCGTGCATTTCGTGGCTGGACAGAATGTGACACGGCCACTTGGGGTCATCCACCTTTCACTGTGGAGCAGAGCGTCTACATTCTGGGCTCTGGACTGGTGCTCATCTCTGGCCGGCTTCAGCAATGTTTGCTTAGCATCTCCCCATGCATTTACCATGCCGTGTTGCGCGTGCTGTGCTTGTGGCCACGGCTACCACACAGGCGGCCCCAATTCCAATCTACGAGACAAGCGGTACACGTGTGTTAAGTCCCTGTGTGTGTGTGTGCGTGTGTGTGCACCCATCTGATGTGGGTCTGTTACCGGCAACAGCTGCATCCGAGATCCTCGTCTTCGTGTAGGAAAAGAATTTCAGGCACGAGACAGGAGCAGGGAGCATGTCAGCCACGTTTAATGAAGACAGTATACCTGACAGACGGGGCGGGCAGCTTGGCAGAGGACCAAGAGCGCGGGGACCCACCTAACAAGGTCATTGTGCAGGTGCTGGTCTGTTTCCAAGGCACGAGTCTACATTTCTTCCCTCATGCAACTGCACGAAATCCCATAGACTGGTCTTCACCCGCTCTCCCACGTGGGCTGATGTCCAACTTCCTACCCAGGGGCATGGTTCAGGTGTCCCAGCAGCCGGCCCCCTTCCATCAACGTCAGCAGAGCCAAGTAAGAAGAGGGGGCGGGTCTTGGGCTCAGGGGCAGGGACCCTACTCCCTGGCTGGCCGGGAGCCACTGACCCGCCTCGCACGAGGCTGTGGCCGGAGTGGAGAATCCACGCAGTCCTCCTGGCCCCGGGGCCAGAGGCGGGGGTGAGGGAGCCCCATCTCGCCTTTGAGAGGGAGCGGCGTCGGCTCGCACATCTCATTCACCGGCAGTGGCCTTCTTGGCATTGTCCTCTGTTGTGGTTTCCTGGCAGGAATCTCGGGACGCCACCCACCTGCACAGGAGCTAATGTGGTGAATGGTGGTGATACAATCCATAAAGCCACTTGGCGAGGCCCGCGCGGCCTGCACACAGATGTAGCAGATAACACTTATCACCATTGATTTGAAGCCACTGCACCAAGCATTTCTGGGATGCTGGGGTTGGGGGGGGGGGCAGAGTAGAAGGCAGCCTGGATTCCCCTTGGGCCTGGCCACTCCTGGGACGTGTGTTATGTGTGTGCGTGTGCGTATGTGCATGTGTGTGATTACGTGTGTGCTCCTACCTACAACTCCTAGTGTGGGTGTGGCTATCTAGCCACGTCTGTCACTGGGAATCTGGCTCAGAATGCGAATGTTTACATGTGTTGCTTGCTCAGACTCCCATGGCCACCAGGCCCCCTCGGGGGCTCTCTAAGCCCTGGAGGTGGAGCGTCTGAGGTCAAGGTGAGAGCCGGGTCGGTTGCTGCCAGGCGCCCACGCCGCTCCCCAAGGGTCTGCCAGCATGGTCTCTGCCGTGACCTTCGCAGGGTGTGCCACGCTCCCTGCAGCAGTGGCCCTGTGTCCACACGGCCCCCTTTTTTATAAGGACGCCAGTCGTGTTAGGTTAGGGCTCACTGTATTGCGCGAGAAGGCGCCTTACTGTAATGGATCCCATCCGCGTGGTTGGCTTCCAGATGCACGCTCTGATGCACGGTGGGGGGGACATCAGGGAAGGAATCCGGGGGAGACAACGCAATCTGTCCTAGCCCAGACGATTCTAACACAGGATCCCTGGGGGTAGGATCTCAGCTTTCCCCCTCCCTCCTTGTGTGTGTGTGTGTGTGTGTGTGTGTGTGTGTGTGTGTTCACAGTGTAGTCCAGGCACCAGTGTGGTAAACACATTTTTTTTAAAGTTGTGGGAAGAATGCTGAACACAAAATCTCCCCTTCTTAACCAAACTAGGTGCACGGTAGGGCATGGGGAGCGAGAGGCCTGGGGCTGTGGCACTGATTTCTAGAACTCACTCCTCCAGCATGGCTGGCACTTGTCACCCGCCGAACATGAGCTCGTGTCTTTACGAGGAACACGGTGACTTGTTTGCTCGCTAAAGTCTGAGAAGCACACAGCCACCTGGGGTGACCCACACTCAACCGCCTCAGATAGAAACCCCGCAGAAAACAAACCACACACTGGACAATGCCACTGCCTTCGAAAGCAAGGGGAGAAGGAGTTGCACAAGTCTAAATCGGAAAACTCAGAACCGGAGAGCTGAGCACCAGTGGGTGCTGGGGAGGTCCAGGGCAGGGATGGACAGGGAGGCAGACCCCCGGGGGCTGCAGCTGGGGTCCAAATGCCCATGAGAAGGTGATGGGGCCCCTGTGAGCTTAAAGTCACACCCAGCCTGGAGCCTCTATCAGTCAGCTTGTCACTTAAAGGGGACTAGAAACTCAGTCAGAGATTTGCTTTAACAAACTAGAAATGTGGAAGATGAGGAACTGCCCGTTCACACCCGCAGTGTGGACTTGTGGGATCGTAGCTCGCTCAGCCGGGGTGCACACAAGACTTGGGGCGGGTGGGAGGAAGCATTGGGGACTCATCCTGGAATTCTAGAGTGGAGGAGGGGTCTGTCGAATTCCAGGAGCAGGAGCACCGGCACAGAGCGATCCTCACGGACTTAGGAGAAGTGGGCTTTCTGGAGCCACATGCCCCCTCCTCACGTGGGGACCTCATACGAGGCAGAGGTTGGCTTCAGTGGCCATTGGGTGGCCATGCTGACCGCTGTGGTTGTGGTTCGGCTGCTGTGGCCCCACAGCGAGCCCAGTGGGTGGACCGAACCCTCACCCACCCTGACTTGCAGAATTGCAGGCTCTGGGAGGCCATGGAGTCACCCAGCAGCACAGAGGGAAGCCAGGGCGCGGGCTGGCTGTCTTCACTATGTTCCCAGTGACTCACTGGGGGGCCCAACTACAGGTGTTTGCCCTTCCTGTTTGTCCACTTTCCAAGTTTTCTGTATAAAATGGAGGGAAATGAATTACCACGAAACAACAACACACACCAAAATGAGGCTTGGCAGTATCTGGGAGAAGGACGCCAAGCCCGGCCTCTGGCCCCTGGACCTCCGGCATGCCCCGGGGTCCTGGCTCCTCGAAGCTGAGTCTGCGCCAATACTTAGGGTGCGGCTGTTTCCTCTAACCCGGGACGCTGCACCTGTGACGGGGGCTGGGGCCTAGGGAGGCGCGGACCCGCCCCTGAAGGCCCTCTCCCCGCCCCCACAGGTCAACCCCTTCCGAGACCGCATCTGCAGGGTGTTCTCCCGCAACGGCGTGTTCTCCTTCGAGGACGTGCTGGGCCTGGCGTCGGTGTTTAGCGAGCAGGCCTGCCCCAGCCTGAAGATAGAGTACGCGTTCCGCATCTACGGTAGGCGCTTGGGGCGTGGCGGGAGGCGGTGCCGGGGCAGTGCCCCGGAGGACGAGCAGGTCTCTGCACACATCGGTGCCTTGGGATGCTGTTAACCGGGGGGTGGGGGGTGGTTACCTGAGTCTTTGCAACTCTCAAGTGTGCAGAATAAAAAGAGTGGATAACTACCGCGGCAGCGGACAGGTGCTCTCCCTGCGTGCGTCAGAGGCCAGTGGAGTCCTTGGTGCCGCTCTTGGGGAGTCGCGTGTGGGCAGGAGAGACAGACAAACAGACTGCACATCGGGGCTGAGGAGTTTGGCTTCTATGGCGGAAGGATCGTTGGGTGAGGGGTTAAGAAATTCCAACGCAGGGGCCATCTTTGCCGCTAAGTGGCTGAGCCACGTGGGACAAATCAGTTCACTTTCCAGGACCTCGATTTTCTCACCGTTGGGTGAAGGGGTGCAGAGAGGTCCGTTGACGTGGGGGGGGGGCTCTGATGGTGCCCCAGCAGTCACAGGCTCTACAACCAGTGCCACTCGTCACCAGGCAAATGCCCCCTCAGCCTGGCTGGCCTGCCGGGAAAGGATTCCACAGGGAGTCGGGAAACTGACCAGGCTTTGGTGCACCGTGGTGGCTCCTTGGCCCCAAGGGACTCGAGTCTTCATGGTCTCACCGTCCTTTCCTGCCTGCTCCCTGGTGGGCCTCATCTTGCTTCTGCCTCCCCCAAGGGGACTTGGGTAGAACAGAGGAGGGGGCAGTTTTAAGCCAGGTGGACTCAACTCTTTTTCCACACTATTTTTCACATGTGTCATCCTGCCCAGCATCCAGTAAGAATGAATCATGGTTTCCTCCCGAGAATGGCTGAGTCAGCTCCTATCACACTGTCCCTCCATAGATAGCAGCCATGAACTCCAAGCAAAACGTTAAAATTGGGGGCCAGCATCATGGCGTAATGGGTTAAGCTGCTTCCTGCGACACCAGCATCCCATGTGGGCACCGATTCATATCCCGGCTGCCCCGCTTCCGATCCAGCTCTCAGCTATGACCTGGAAAAGCAGTGGAAGGTGGCCCAAGTCCTTGGGCCCCAGCACCCACATGGGAGACCAGGAGGAAGCTCCTGGCTCCTGGCTTCAGCCTGGCTCAGCTCCAGCCATTGTGGCCATTTGGGGAGTGAACCAGCAAATGAAAGATCTCTCTCTCCCTCCCTCTCTCCCTCTCTCTCTCTTTCTCTCTCTCTCTGTAACCCTGTATTTCAAATAAATAAAAATAAATCTTTAAAAAACATGTTAAAATCAACTAGCAGATAGTTCTGGACAGCTATCAAAACAAGATAGATTCTAGGAAGATTTGACACTTTGGGGGAAAGAAATGGAACTGAATGGGTTCTCCAGGTCACCACCCTTTTTATCTTTTAACTTTTTTTAGCTTGAAGGTGGGCTTCGGTGAGTGCATCCTGCAGGCTGCTAAATTTCAAACCCTTCTGACATGAACCAGAGAGCCTGGCGCAGCCACGGCCCCTGCCGAGCGGAGCTGGTCGGGGGAGGGCGTGGAAGGAGGCCCAAGAAGGGGAGCCCTGTTCTGATGTATACAGTGTGCCCCGTCACTCTCCAAGGCTTCGGACCACATATACAGAAGCCCACTTAAGGATTATAGAGCTGACCTGAGATTAGAGCTGCCGCCACATTTCAACAAGGCCCCCAGGTGACAGGGACTGTGCCAAAACCCCAAATTCAGCCCTCTTTGGAGGAATATAACAGAGTACAGAGTCTCCACAGCAAAACAGCTGCAGCGTCCAAGATGCTGTGCAAGATCACTCAGCTGCAATGGCTTTCTCTTAAAGGAGGTGCATTCTCAAGAATAAAGACCGACGCTGACATGACCCGGATGTTGGAATTGTGATAAGGGTTTAAAAATCACTACTCTAAGCTATATTAGCCAGGTGTCCCAGAGAAACAGAAGCAGTTGTGGGGGGGGGGGGGTTAAGAAGCAGGAGCGCTGCTGGCCAAGGACAGGAGGGCACAGATGACTCAGCTCGGAGCCGGTGAGCGCTCCCTGCCTCTCCTCTCCCTGCTGCTGGGCCTGCGAGCCCCCGGTGCTGTCCACCCACACTGATGATGTGGCCTTTTTTACCCAGACTACTGAGTCAGGTGCTGTTCTCTTCGGAAAAGAAAGGTCATAAACACACTCAGGAATAATGTTTTACCAGTTACCTGGACATTCCTTAACCCTTGACACCTAGAATTAACACATACAATGAACCACCACAAAACCATTCCCAAGGATGTGGAAGAAAATATGCTCATAATGAATGAAAAAATAGGAAGGCTCAGCAGAGAAGTGGAAAGAATCAAGCTTAACGTGCAGAACTGAAAAGTGAAACATCTGAGAAATTCACAGAGAGAGAACCAAGACAATGGAGGAAAGAGACAGCAAACTTGAAGACGGATCCATGAAAATCGTGCCATCTGAATAACAGAGAGAACGAACATTGACAGAGTTCAAGAGCAGGGTCGGGGACACAAAGGACAAGAGAGGTCTAACATACGTTCACTTGGAGTCTCAGAAGGAAAGCAGAGGATGCATGGGGTGGAAAAGATTTGCAGAAAGAATGGCCCACGTGTCCTGGACTTGATGGAAGGCGCAACTTTACAATGAACTTGAAGCACTCAGGGCATCATGTACACAGAATTCTGTTGGTTTGGCCGTCTGCACCCATCAGTAACGTCTCTCTTCTTCCTTGCCTGCAAGTATTTCTGGGAAGCTGTAACGGCCATCGTCAGCCAGCCCCTCCCATTCCGGGTGATGGCCGTGCTGGCTCAAGTTCCTGTCTGTGTCTCCTGGCCAGGGCAGCTCCTCTGGGAGAATGCTGGCCAGGGCTCCGTGTTCGTGTTGTCTTTGGGCTGCCAGGCTCAGCAGCTCACCTGTGTAAAGGCAGCTGTATCAGGAGGAGTTTTCCATCAGTGTGCATGCGATAAATTCCTGCAAGCTTAAAGGCTTTGGATGACGCGCTTTATAATCTCCCAGTTGCAGGTTAGGAATCCCGAGGCGGCTTGGCTGGCTCCACCTCTTAGGGTTTCAAGGCCACAGTCAAGGTTGTGACCAGGTGGAGCGCTTGACTGGGGAAGACTCGACTCAATGAGCTCACTCAGGTTGACGGCAGCATTCAGTGCCCCATGTCTGCAGAGCTGAGGACCCTGACTCCTTGCTGCACGGGGGCTGGAGGGTGACCTCAGCTCCTCACCACAGGGAACTCCCAACTCGGCCATTTGCTTCTTCCAAAACAGCTAAGAACAGCATTGCCTGAGCTCCCGTGTTGGCAAGATGGGGTCTGATACAACGTAACGTGATGAGGGAAATGACAGCCCATCGCACTGTCAAATTCTATTGGTTGGAGGCAAGTCACTGTCCTACCCACAACTGAAGGGCAGTGGGGTGAAGCCGTGCTTGGTGAAGTGGTCACAACTCTGCCTGGAGTGCCTGGATCCCATGTCAGAGTGCCGGGTTCGAATCCAGACTCCTCCGCTTCCAGTTCAGCTTCCTGGTGCGCACACCCTGGAGAGCAGTGCTGGTGGCTCAAGTTAGGTCCCACCCACATGGGAGACCCAGATGGAGTTCCATGGTCCTGGCTTTGGCTTGGTCCAGCTCTGGCTGTCTTGGGCATTTGGAAAATGAACATCAAGAGGTGCAGATAGCAGGGGAGGGGCCCATAGTTTGTCCATCACAAGCAGCGAGGGACTCATGGTGGGGGGAAGCGGAACAGGTCCCCCAGAGTGCCCAGGGGGCAGCTGGGGTGGGGTCAGAAGCGAGGGGCTCCCTTCTCCTCTCCACGGCTGTGTCTCTTACCTCTGCTTCTCCTTGTGAACTTTCTCTCGCTGCAGATCTGATCTCTATGCCTCTGTGCCGCAGCCCCCGACACGGCCTGCGGGCTTCACTCTGGCCGACATGGGCGTCTCTGCTTCTCCCAACCTGTCCCTTTTCTCAGGAAAAGCAGGTTGGCTCAGCCAAGCCGATGATCTCGCCGCCCCTGGGTTGGGCCACCAGCCTTGCCCAGCCAGCTGCAGCCAAGAAGGAGCAGGGTCACATAAACAAACAGGGCTCCAGCGGCGGCCACTGGGGGATGGGGACACTTCCCAGGGATAGCAAAGTGTAGGCTGGGCAGATGTCCCAAACCACGTCTGCCTTCGCTGACTTTCCATGGTTTCCAGAGCCAAACAAATAAAAACAGCCAAGCCCGCAGGAAGTTGGATGAGCAGCGGGTTCTCTTTCAGCTTAAGGCACAGGAGCTAAATCACGTTCCGGTTCCGTAACAGAAAAGGCGCCCTTCGTCCCCAGAGGTCAGCCTGAGGCGCTCCGGTGTGGGAGCAGACACCCATCGTGGACCCCCCCCCCCCGCCCCCTTCAGGCCCCCTGGAGCAGGGGAACAAAGAGCTCAGAACCCTCACACAAATCAGCAGGGCAGGTGGGTGCCCAGGGGCTCGTCAACCCCGCGGCTCACCCAGACGGCCCCCGGCGACGCCGGGTTCTCTTCCGGCTCTGAAGGCTCGCTGCTCACAGAGCTGCCCGCAGGATCCGAGATGGACACGGAGACCCTGAGCACCGTCTGCACGTGGCAGCTGTCAATAAACCCAAGTGGGCGTGGTCCACCGGGAAGGAAGAGGCAAAAGGGGAAGGGAGATGGAGGAGGAGGGGAAGGTGGCCGTGGCAGTGGCCGTGGTGCCATCCTCGGCACAGGTCCAAAGACCTAACTCAGTGCCCTACCCCTGCGGGCCCCGCAGACCCACCGCATCTGTGCTGCCAGGAAGCTTACTGGAAACGCGGCGCCTCGCCACACCTGCTGAGTGAGACCTGCCTTTTAGCCGATCCCCGGGAGATTCCTCCACTCCTGAAATTTAAAGAGCTCTGACCTAACCCACCGGCGCCCACAAGCTTGGACCCCAGCTTGAGACTGGGTAGATGGGCACTGGGCACAGCGTGGTTGGTGGGCTTTTCCCAAGTTCAAGAGCCACTGATGTAAGGCACCACACCAGCCAGGGTCACACTCAGGTCTGGGTTAGCGTCTATGGTGGAAAAGGGAGTCAGGGGCCAGGCAGGCCGGAGCTGGGGCCATGGACTCCGGGAAGGAAGCGGCCTCTAAGCCTCTAAACCTGCCAACAGTATGGACCTTTGTCCTCATGGTCATGAAAGCGACAACCAAAGGCACAGACAAGTCACTCTCCTGTCACAGGAAGCCCTACCCACCCAGTGACTTTGGCTTATAGTTTATTGGCCGAGCCATGTCCATGGCCATCCAGAGCTGCAAGGGAGGCTGGAGAGCTGTGAGCTGCTTTTTTTTTTTTTTTTTTTGGTCAGGCTGAGTGGACAGTGGGAGAGAGACACAGAGAAAGGTCTTCCTTTTGCTGTTGGTTCACCCTCCAATGGCCGCTGTGGCCAGCGTGCTGGGGCCGGCACATCACGCTGATCTGAAGGCAGGAGCCAGGTGCTTCTCCTGGTCTCCCATGGGGTGCAGGGCCCAAGCACTTGGGCCATCCTCCACTGCCTTCTCTGGACACAGCAGAGAGCTGGCCTGGAAGAGGGGCAACCGGGACAGAATCCGGCGCCCCGACTGGGACTAGAACCCGGTGTGCCAGCGCCGCAAGGCGGAGGATTAGCCTAGTGAGCCGGGGCGCCGGCCGAGCTGTGAGCTTTAAACTGAGCGCAGTGCCACCCTCAGTAGGAACCACAGCCCTGCTAGTAAGGACGATGGGGAGAGTAGCTGCTAGCCAGGGATCCAGCAAAACCAGCCACGCCTCCTTGGAATGGGCTCTGTTGTGGGGTCACTCTTGCCACTCTCTGTACCCTGGGAGGGGAGACTTTCTACCTGCCAGAGACCCACCCGCAGCACAGCCCCCTCCCCAGCGATAAATTCCCCATTGGCAGGTGATCCCACACCTTCCCAAGACCTGACACAGCCTTTAGGGAAGCTGGCATTGGGAGAGGCCAGGGAGGAGAGCCAGGAGGAAGGACAGAGATGTTGAGAGGATGACAGAGCCTTTGGGGGCAACTGAGGGCTGGGCCCTGACTCCCACAGCTCTCTAGCCCCCACCCCCACCCCTCTGCCCCTGCATCCCCCACAGGAGGAGGCATCTCGCTCCAGCAAGCCTTCTTCCCGATGACTTGGGACGGGAGCCATGCAGTCTCTGCAGATGGGAGCTGGGCCAGCAGGATGCCCGGGGACACTGCGGGGTCTCCCAGAGAGGCTGTGCAGCTTGTCCTGGCAGGGCGGTGTCACTGCACTGCCTGCTGCCCACGTCCCTCCTTCCTCTGCACCTGCTCCGAGCCACCCCCCGGAGAGTGTGATGGCAGAGCTGTGTGGGGATGGTGGCCCCAGCCTTGGTCTGTCCCCAGGGCTCAGCAACTCCAGCCATTGGGAGACAACGCTCAGACAACAAGGGAGCTGGCTGTGCCTTCCACACCCACATCCTGCCTTGGGAAATGGAGATGAGTCGTGGCTCTCCCTTGTGGGACACTGTGAGGCCAGCAAACTCTACGCCTCGGTTTCCCTAATAGCCTAAGGTGGCTCTGGCTCCAGGGCGGGCTGTGACGTGGTCCCTAAGGTTGGCGTTGCTAGTGTGTAAGGAGCATCGCGTGATGCAGTGCTGCCAGTCTGCTCTTGCTGCTACGTGTCTTCTCGCCTCCAGCCTCAAGCCCACGATGGCCATGCATTTTCCTACGTAAACTTTGCAGCAGCTTCTCCTGCGTTACAGACGAGGAAAACGGAGGCTCGGTGGTGAATTAGGATCCATTGGTGGCCAGTGGCAGGAGCTCCAAGCCATAACAGCTCACGCCAGAGAGCTCCTGAGATGGCTGGAAGCCATGTGCTCATTTCTGTAGCCCTTTTGCAGCCAGGGGCTGTTTGAACCTTGATGCGCGCCATATAGAACAATCAACTTAAACGATCAACTGCTGAAGATGTATGGGATCTCGGGAAGCGCCTGAGGTTGCCTGGGCAGGGCCAGAGTAAAGGATTACATGGGCCGGTCCATCGACGTCCAGATGCGGCTGCCCACTGCGCTCCTACTGTGCAGCATCAAGGCCAGGCCCCTCCTGTCTGTTGCTGGATCCTCAAATAGAAACACCGAATGAAACAAACTACACCCTTGAATGTGTCGCTGCCATACTCAAGGTCGCTTCCTTGTCCCAGAGCATCACAGCTTCCCTTCCGGGCTGTTCCCAGCAGTCACTGCTTCTGCTTACATCTCATTGGCCAGAACTGAGTCACGTGAGCCTATCAAGCAGCAAGGGAGGCTGGGAAATGTAGTACCTGCTTTGGGTGACCCCGTGCCAGCCAAGGACTGGCATTTCACTGCAGTAAAGATGGTAATGGGCGGTGAAAACACGGACTTCTCTGAGAGTTTGACTGCCTCGTTTTTTTTTTTTTAAAGATTTATTCATTTATTTGAAAGTCAGAATTACACAGAGAGAGGAGAAGCAGAGAGAGAGAGAGAGAGTCTTCCATCTGCTGGTTCACTCCCTAATTGGCCACAGTGGCCAGAGCTGCACTGATCCGAAGCCAAGAGCCAGGAGCTTCTTTTCTTCTGGGTCTCCCAGGGGGGTGCCAGGGCCCAAGGACTTGGGCCATCTTCTACTGCTTTCCCAGGCTGTAGCAGAGAGCTGGATTGGAAGTGGAGCAGCCGGGTCTCTAACCAGCGCCCATACGGGATGCTGGCGCTTCAGGCCAGGGTGTTAACTCGCTGTACCACAGTGCCAGCCCCATGACTGCCTCGGTTTAGTCATGTCCTTGCCACTGACCAATGAGCAACCTTGGGTAGTCCATCCATTCATTCATTCAGCTGTCCATCTCCTCTGTCCCAGGCACAGAGCTCGAGACACACTAGTGAACAAAGAGATGCAAATGTCTGCCCTTATTCTGGGGAGGAGGAAGCGCTGGCCCTGGAAATGAGGGCCACCTGCACTGTGGCTGCAGCTGGAAGGGCAAAGCCTCCTGGACACACTCAGTGGGCAAGGGCGGTCAGCCGGGGGCGGCTCCCTCCGCAGCCCCTGCCGCCCACTCCCCTGGCCCCCGCCCCATGCCCCTGCTGCCAGCCCCTCTGTGCAGCCCCTCTGTGGGGTTAGCAGGGGTGAAGCTGTGTCCCCCTCCCCCACCGCGATCTGGAGGCTACCTTCGCCCCCACCCTTCCCCTGACACCCTGGGTGCGTGTGGGGGTGGGGCAGGAAGATGAGGCCCCTTCTTACCTCCCGGGGTCAGAGGCAGTATTTCTTCTTGTCCCCTGCCCCTTTGAGGGCCCAGCCAGAGTCCTTGCAGCCCACCACTGAGCAAGGGCCACTGTCCTCACCCCATGGAGGAGGCGGGCACACGCTCCGGTCACGCAGCTACCACACAGGGGCAGCAGCAGGGACTGGCACCCGGGGCTTCCAGCTCCCTGACCTGCCCGGCTCCTCCCTAGCAGCCTGGCTTCCCAGCTCTGAGATGGAGATTTCCGTGGGGCTTAGGGGTCCGGGTGGCTGGGCTGGAATTTTTGTTTTTACGCCTCCTGGCAGGGCGGCCATACCACAGCCCACTGCTGTGCCTTGGGTTCTTTTTGATAAAATTAAAACTAATCAAAGGTTGACCAGAAGCTTCAAGGACGTAAACTACGTGGCACGGCTCAGCCAGTGCTCATGGTCAAGGTTGCCTGCGGCCAGCCCTGGTACTGCCACGCCCCATCCCTTCAGGCCTGTGTGCCCTGAGTCCCAGGTTCTAGCTGCCCCTGGGACAGGTGAGCCCTGCAGGGGCCTCTGGGAAGCCTGGGCCATGGGCCCCCCGGAACTCTTCTGGGCCACTTCCAAGTCCCTGCCAAGCAGCCCTGACCGCTCTCTGCAGATTTCAACGAGAACGGCTTCATCGACGAGGAGGACCTGCAGAGGATCGTGCTGCGCCTGCTCAACAGCGCCGACGTGTCCGAGGACCTGCTGACCGACCTCACGCACCACGTGTGTACCGTGCAAAGGCCCGGAGGCAGAAGCCCTCCGGCAAGCACAGGCCCCTGTGCACACATGCCTTGGGGGAGGGGATAAGGTGCCCCCCAGAAGCAGGCACATGGAAGGAGAGAACCCCTCTCAAATCTCTGTCCTTCCGATAAGAACCTTCTAGCGCCCCCAGACAGAGGGCCTCCCCCCCACCAGGCCCTCAATGCTGCTGGCTGTGCCTGCAGTGGCTCGGTGTGGGGTGGGGTAGGGTGGGATGGGTGCATCATGTGTCCCTGCACCATTAGCCCAGCCTGGCACAGGGCCACCACCCGCAAGCCGTCAGGGCGCGTGTCCCTTTGTCCTCGGACCATGGGAGCCTGGACTGGGTGGGGACTGGGGGGAGGCACAGCCATGCGCAGTGTTGAAAGGGGGCCCTGCCTGGGCAGCTGGCATATCTCTGCTCTCAGGGCCGGGCGTGCACGGGTGGCACCGAGGAGAATCCTCCAGAAGCAAGGGTCAGCCCCACAGGCCCAGACCTCAGCGCACAACTTGGGGTGGGGGGGACCCACGTGGCAGAGATCCGGGCAGGTGGTTTGTGGCACTCCACCCCCTCCCCCAGCCCTGCACCCCCTCCCCACCGTCTGCTACCAGGCTGCCCCAGGTCTCGCTGCCCCCAGGTTCTGACGGAGTCTGACCTGGACAACGACAACATGCTGTCCTTCTCCGAGTTCGAGCACGCCATGGCCAAGTCTCCAGACTTCATGAAGTAAGGTGTTCTGCTTGGGGGTGGGGGGGCAGGAAGGGGGCCCCAGTTACCCATCAGCCAGCGGGGCGTCTCAGTCTTCCCAAGGGCGTAGTGAGTTACTGGGGTACTCGGCAGACTCCTTCGGCATCCGTGAAACTGGAGCCTCTAAGAAATTGGGGAGCCCTAGCGGATTCAAGGGTAGAGGGGGGGCCTGGGCCACTGCCTTTCCTGCACTGGTCCTACCTGCCCCCCACCCCCATGGCGGAGTTGGAGCTCATGGGAGAAAGGGCAGCCAGTCCTACCCCAGCAGAAGGGGCCATTTGGTCTTCTTGGCCACGCCTCCCAGGGCGATTGACAGCCCCGCCCCTCCCTGGTTCCAGGAGGTACACTGGGGACAGCTCAGCTGGACACATGGCCCTCCTGGCAGGCTACCTGAGGGGACCTGGCCTTGTTGGCCTGTGTCTTCTCCTGGGTGCTGTTCTGCCCAGGCGCCAAGGTCTAGGTGATCTGGAAAGCACGCAAGTGCCCACAAAGCCACAGAGCCCACCTCGGGCAGGAGGGGGCAGATGCCTCTCACCCCGGCTGCCGGCACTTGGCTTCCCGCCCCAGCCATCTCGGCCGCGCCACCTGCGGGTCTCCTGGGTTCTGAATGACCTTCAGCGACTCCTGAGCGCTGACTCCCAGAGAGAGCCCGACTGGCCGGGCTCAGACATCCGCCCCTCTAGCGAGCTCTCATCCCCATCCCGTTCCCTGCGTGGCTGCGCAGGGGGGACCGCCCCCTCCCAAAGGTGCTTCCTCTTCTCCCAGCACAGACTCAGAGCCAGAATCCCGTCCCTCTTGGAGTCCTCTGTGACTCTCTCCCACTTCCCGCTATTGGCTCCCACACCGCCAGGGGCCGCGGGGCCCTTTGCATCCCAGTGATGCTGAGAGAGAATGAGGGAGGGCCTGGAGCTGGCTGAGAACCGGCCGCAAGAGCTGGGCCCCGGGCACAGGCCTACAGGGCTTGGCACTGCAGGCTCCCAGCGGCTCCCAGCGTTCCTCCTTGCAGCTCCTTCCGGATCCACTTCTGGGGATGCTGATCTGGCTGGCAGCCCCGAGGGACGCCACAGGGGCACGGGCACACTGGATGTGAAGTGTGGCTCTGTGCCTCTCCACCCCACCCCCCCATCCCTGCCCTGGGTACTGTTTATTAAACAAAGCTAAAGACAAGCGTTTTCCTTAGCCCTGTGCTGTGTGCCTGGGTTCGAGCTGCTGGTGCCAGGGGTGGGACGTGCCACTGCTGCCGAGCAAGCCGGGCGGGCACTCTTACCAAGGGCAGGGTTCGGGGCTCAGCCTGTGTCAGAGTGGGGGGCCTGGCCAGCTGGGTCGAGGTTCCCTGGGAAAGTATCCACCCTCCCACCCCAGAGATGCAGGCGCACATAGCGGTCATTCCAGCTGGCGCCTGGCTTCCCTGTCCTCGTCCCAGGCAGACGGCATCTCCACCATGCTCGGCACCCCCAGGCCCTCGGGATGCGCCTCTGAGTGACCAGCCCCCAGGGTTTATTTGTCTTGCTCTTTGGCCAAGCTCTGGAATGGAGTTGGCCACCACAGAGACCCTTTGGATCCCAGCTGGTCGGGGACCCTGGGACACAGGAGAAACCCCTCTCTTGGTTGGGGGGTGCTCTGACAGCTGCCAGGGCCTCCGGGGTTTCTTCTCTGCACTGTCCAGGCACAGAGGAATGGCTCTTTCCGCCCTCAGGTCACTAGAACCTTGCTATGGTTCCCTTGCCCACTTAGGAGCAACAGTGGCGTCCCCTGACTCCGATCCAGGGGGCGTTGGATGCTGGAGGATGTTGGGCACACCTGGTCTGAGGGCCCCAGCCCAGCCCCCATCCGGTGAGGGACTGTCACCCACGTCCTGCCCTTTGCCCAGGGGCCCCCAGCGGCGGCAAGCAGCAGCCTGGCGTGAGCGCCCCCTCCCATACACCCAGCCTCGGAGGCCCTGAAACTCCTTGACTAGTGATTTGGTCCTGGGTCACTGCCTCCCATTACCCTTCTAGAAATGGCCCTAGGGCTGGATGCCACATCCACCTGTCCACGCCGGGCTGGGCAGAAGGCAGCATGGGGCTGCAGGGTCCCTCAGCATCCCAAGGGCTGTGTCACCCCTGCCCCGCTAGTCTCCGCCTGGGCCATAGGCAGGGTGTGCAGCAGGAGACCCAGGCACGGGAGTCAGAAAGACGTGGGTTCCAATCCTGGCTGTCACCTCCTAGCTGTGAGCAGCTCCCTTCGTGCCGGGGAGGCCCAGCGTCCTTTTCAGTAACGTGGGGGACGTGAGACCTCCCTCGCAGTTGTCAGGCAGACCTGGTGATGCCAACACAGGGCTCCTGTGGCGATTCCTTCCCAGCCCACGTGCAGGGCAAGTGTTCTGGGGCCACGTCACCCTTGCTCCCGGACAGACCCTCACTGAGCTTCCTCGGTGACACCAGCAGAAGCAGACAGGCGGTCTCGGCGCAGGAGGGAGCCACCGCTAGGCCTTGGGAACCCCACAGCGCTTGCTTCCAGAAGCTTCACCTTGGGGGAACAGGTGCTTTTCCTTGGTTTGAATCCCTTGAGCTGAACTTGGCACAGGCCCTTAAACTACCACGCTGGGTGGCCTTGGGGCCACCCTCCTGCCACGGCCACATGCCCCTGGGGCCCGGAGGAGAGACACGTGGAATGGTCATGGCTAACGATTTTATTTCAAGCAAACCGACGTGGCCAGGGCCGGGCTGTCTGGTGTCAGCACCTGTCCTCACGCTCTGAACTCAAAGTAGCAATCTCGCGTCTGCCGCTCCTGCGGAGACACCCTCTTCCCCGACGGGAAGGCCTGGGCCGTCTTCAGGTTCTCGGGGGAGACTCTTAGAAGGTGCCACTTATTCTTCGGACTCAGAGGAGGCCTGGAGGTGAGGACCAGGGCCAGGGCTAAGCAGTGAGCCGGGGTGGTTGGGGAGAGGAGGGCCCCCCCGCACCCAGCCCCGCACCCCAGCTTTCCAGCCGGGGCTCCCCCTGGTGGCTGCTCCCCAGTCTAGCATGTGACAAGTCACCCTGGACTTGTGCACGATTGCGCAGCAGAGAAGAGGGAGGACTTGGTCGGCAGGCGGACCTGGGATGGAGACTGGCCCTGACTGTCCCTAGCGGTGGACGTGTGCAAAAAGGGGCTAGCGCTGCTGTCTCACTCTCAGCTTCATGCTGAGCAGTAAGCGAGGTAAGGCATGGAAAGCACTTACCGTGATGCTGGACAAGGAGTAGGTTCTCCACAGATGTTGCAGGGAATGAGGATGGCGAGGGTGGTGGCGGGGATGCGGTGACGGTATTGGGGATGGGGATGGGGATGGGGATGATGGCGATGGTGATGATGGCGATGGTGATGATGTGATACTGATGATGGTGATGGTGATGGTGATGATGTGAGATTGATGACGGTGATGGTGACGGTGATTGTGATGATAATGGTGATGGGGATGAGAGTGAGGACGATGTTGATGGTGGTGATGGTGGTGGTGATGATGATGATGGTGATGATGTGATATTGATGATGGTGATGGCGATGATGATGATGATGTGATTGGTGATGGTGATGGTGATGGTGATGATGATGGTGATGGTGATGATAATGGTGATGGGGATGAGAGTGAGGATGATGTTGATGGTGGCGACAGTGATGATGATGGCAATGGTGATGATGTGATATTGATGGTGTTGGCAATGATGATGTGATTGGTGATGCTGATGGTGATGTGATTGGTGATGGTGATGGTGATGATAATGGTGATGGGGATGAGAGTGAGGATGATGTTGATGGTGGTGACAGTGATGATGGTGATGGTGACAGTTATGGTGATGATGGTGATGGTGATGAAGGGGATGGGGATGAGAGTGAGGACAATGTTAATGGTGATGACGTAATATTGATGATGGTGATGGTGACGGTGATGATGGTGATGATATAATAATGATGATGGTGACAACGATGATGGTGATGATGTGATACTGATGATGGTGATGGTGACAGTGATGATGCTGATGATGGCGATGGCAATGGTGATGATGTGAGATTGATGATGGTGATTGATGATGGTGATTGTGATGGTGATTGTGATGGTGATGATAATGGTGATGGGGATGAGAGTGAGGATGATGTTGATGGTGGCGACAGTGATGATGATGGCAATGGTGATGATGTGATATTGATGGTGTTGGCAATGATGATGTGATTGGTGATGCTGATGGTGATGGTGATGATGATGGTGATGGTGATGATGATGTTGGTGATGATGATGGTGATGGGGATGAGAGTGAGGATGATGTTGATGGTGGTGACAGTGATGATGGTGATGGTGACAGTTATGGTGATGATGGTGATGGTGATGAAGGGGATGGGGATGAGAGTGAGGACAATGTTAATGGTGATGACGTAATATTGATGATGGTGATGGTGACGGTGATGATGGTGATGATGTGATATTGATGATGGTGATGGTGACAGTGATGATGCTGATGATGGCGATGGCAATGGTGATGATGTGAGATTGATGATGGTGATTGATGATGGTGATTGTGATGGTGATTGTGATGGTGATGATAATGGTGATGGGGATGAGAGTGAGGATGATGTTGATG